CAACTGCTAGATGTCTGCAGCTTCCCCCTGGAGTCTGTGGTGTTAGAAAACTGGCAGCAAAGGACTCAGAGGCTGGGGCCCTCGGGACTGGGAAAGCATAAGGCAAGTCTCTCTCACTTGCAGGATTCCAGACTCAGAAAGCCACACCCTCACTCCTCCTCTCCCCTTCCCAGCACGGTGGAGTTATTGTGCTACGGTCATGCTTAAGGCAAAGCCAAAGGGACTTTGCCTTCTGTAGGCTTATTTATCACTTTGCACAAAATGCACAATTGCCTACTGTTCTTTCACTCAACCCATTTTTACTCGCACTATTCTAGGCACTGGGTGGAAGGTGGTGAACAAGACAGAGAAGAGCTCTTCTCAGTTGTTGATCTTCTATTGTGATGTCTTTCCTAAAAAAAAAAATCCATCTAAAACAAGCAGGTGTCCTGATTTCACTTCCTCATCCCGCACGTGGGTCTCAAGTACCTGGTCATCAAGGGTCAGACTTGGAACATTAAAATGGGAAGAGGCCTTGGAGATTAGCTTAGGCATCACCACCACACCAAGGAAAAGGCTGACATCCAGAAATAAAGAGACCCACGCATCTGGCCCAAATCCCTTGGGCGACCAATGAGAAAAAGGAGTCCTGGGAAAGTGAAAAATATCATCACGTGGGGAGGTGGTGGCCGAGCCAGGCCCAGAAGGCAGAGAACCCAGAAGCCCCCACTTTCAATTCAGATTTTTCTCTGCCCCGTCATTTTAAACTAGAACATTCTCATACAACTTAAAGAATAAATTCTTAAAGTTTCAACAATTTTTTAAATTATCAAGCCAGGTGCAAAATTGACTTTGCTTTTCTAAACCCGGGTAGGAGAGACACAGAAGAACAAGAGGTGTGGAGAGAAAGAGAAGAGGGCCAAGAAAGGTGTGAGCCAAGGGAACTAGCCAGGGTCACAGAGGAGTCAAGGTCAAGGATATAGTAGTGCTGGGGTGAGAAAAGATCAACAAGGTCTGTTCATGATAAGAAAGAAGTGACAATACATCACATTTCAAAACTAGGGAAGGCCAAGTGCTTGGAAATCAGGCCACAATCATTAGGTCTGTTTTATTGTTCATAAAAAAGTGATTTCACTTTTTGACAGATCGTTTTGACATCCCAGTCTACACAGTGGCATCAAGCAGAGTGTAGCATACCATCTAAATCACCCCAAGCCCAAAGTCCATGCTATCATGTTAAGTGCATGCAGTCAGAGCCACATCCAGCCACAGAATACCTCCCATTGGCTAAGCTCAGCGACACTTCCTATGGCACCAACATGCCATCACCTCAGAGGTATCCCTCCCTCACCCAGCACGGGACTCCTCTCCCCGCCATCGCCAGCTGGCTTTGACCTCCCTTCTGCTCCCTCAACCATACACTTGTCTCTTGGAAGGAACATACAAAGGCTAGTCTTAGAGCCGTGTAGACCACATTTGGGGCGGGGGATACTCAGGCACACTCTCTGACATCTGCAGCAGGGCGCGTCTGTCACCATCCAGGCCATGGCCCCCAAGGAAGAGCCAACCATTAGGAAACTGCACTGCACCAGACCAAGTATTCTTTCCGCCAGGTGGGGGGGGAGCACAGTGGGCCCCTGGGCAAGGATCCTGGTTCTGGACAGTGCAGAACAGAGTTGCATATGAGAAGAACTGAGAAATAGCATGTTCTGGAGAAGTAGCCATTACTGGAACTCCTCTCCCCACACACATCTCGAGGCCAATCTCTGGATGCCAGCTCAACCCTCTCTTCAGTGAGAGGCCAATGTGTCTGTATGAGGTGGGTTTTTGAGTCATGACGAATACAAATTCTTTCATATGAAGACATTGCACAGTCAACAACAGCATCTACCAGTGTCCTCAGAACCCCAAGAGACTGGGGTATGCTGACCCCCACTCCCAGACCTGCTGGACAGCAGGCAGCCCACCATTATGTGTGTTAAGCAGATGAATAATAGTAATGTGTCAGGTCTCTATGTCATGCATGGGCAACAAGGATGAAAAAGATGCTGCCCTTGACTTCAAGGAACTGGTAGGTTGGTAGAAGATGCTCCGATGTTATTTGTCAATGTTGAGGTCAGAAATGGAGGCAAGGTCAGCAATGCAGTCAAGGGGACTAATCCAGAAGACTGACTCAGTCAGCACCTCCTAAATGTGCTATTCACACACCCCCTCACAACCTCTGCCCTATCTGCATGCCGCCTTCGCTATTAATGACTTAGGCTTTTTCTTTCTTTTTTTTTTAATGTTTATTTATTTTTGAGAGAGAGACAGAGAGTGCAGGAAGGGGAAGGGCAGAGAGAGAAGGAAGGAGAAGAGGCTCCAGGCTCTGAGCTGTTGGCACAGAGCCTGACATGGGCTCAAACTCATGAACCATGAGCCAAAGTTGGACGCTTAACCAACTGAAGCCACCCAGGTGCCCCAGGTTTTTTCTTTAAGTGGATTCATGTTAAGTAAATATTTTTAATGAAACTGTGTAACACTGGCATATGTAAAAAAAAAATGATATTACTTATAAAAGAGAAATAGAAGATAGCCTTCAAAATAAACACAATGCAAAACACAACTGGGTCACACGATTCCACCTAGACACTACTGTTAGCAAAGGCTCTGGCCTGAGGGTGGCTGTGCCTCTGTCCACAAGGGACAAAGGTGAGGGCTGAGAGGTGCTCAGAACAGCTCAATAAGAATGTCTCCCTCAGTAACCAGAAGAACTGGAATAAAGCTGAAAGGCAACTACCTTCCTCCTGGAGCGTCAAGGTCTTGTGCACATATAACTGGAAGTTGTCTGGCACATTCCCCACGGTGTGCTTCCCACCCTTGGGGAAACCCTAAAGCCTAACCTCACTGCAGCATTTCTGTCAATGTCCAGGTTCTAGAACAGCATTAGGACGTGGCTTATGCCAAAGAAATCAGGCGTAAGGACTACAGACAATGCTCAAGCAGTACTGGGCTGCTGGCTGAATTCGTTTTCCAAAGTTTCTGCCCCTTCCCACCCCCTCCCCAAGGTTAAATATATCCTACAGTCTTCAGGTTACAAATGAGGACATCAAAGACCAGAGAGGGGAGAGAATGTGCCCAGGTCACCCAGCTGGCAGGGAGAGTGAGGTGAGAACAGAGTTCCCAGAATCTCAGGTGCAGCTGAGCAACCAAAACCTAAACAAACTTAAAGACTTAAACTGCAGTTGACTATTTACATTACAAGAAGATTCTTCACTCTCCAAAAGCAGTCAGTTGTAGTCTGATTTCCCTGGAACACGTTAGTGTTTCTTAACAGATTATTAACTCCTTGGCAGGTTCTCAAGCTCTAAAGAAAATTAGCAGGAAAAGGAAGGGGGAGGGGACAGTAATCCCTGCTCTGTTTGTTTGCCAGGCTTTCTACTAAGTGCTTTACATACAGTATCTCATTAAATTAATCCTCCTAGCAGGGTTGGGAATGATCATCTCCATTTTATAGAAAAAGAAGCCTGAGCACAGAGAAGGAAAGTAACTGAGCTAAGGTCACACGGCTACCATGGCACCAAAAGCCCGGGCTATTTCCAGCAGCACACAGCACAGTCTTCCCAGGGAAGTCCCATTGCTATTTTGTTATCACCAGGTACTGAAATATGTCCCACTCTTTGATATAAATATACATAAATGCTAAGAATGTCTTAAAGGAGAGCATTCCTGGTGCCTAAAAGTCTCCCATCCCAGTCCTGCCTCTTTCTACATGCACACAAGTGCACGCACACACACAAACCTTTGGCCAAAATGTTCTACTTTAGTAGATGGAAAAGCAAGGGCTAGTGAGGCTTTTCTGGCTTCTCCGTGATGCCTAGCTTTCCCCCTCCTGCATCCTGGGATCTGGAACTTATCTGGCCAGCCAGAGAGCAGAGCAGAGAGCTCGGTTACCAAGGGTGGGCGTGGGCAGCTGATTGAGCGGGACTGGGCGACTGTATCCTCTGTCGAGTGATAAACCCTGGACACAGAACAGAGGCATTGTGTTACCTCGCAGTTATCAGGTGGGGACGAATAGAAGGAACGGGAAAAGAAAAGACAGGGAGGGGACAAGGGGGTGGAACAGAAGGAGGGAGGGTGGAAGGCAGGAAAGTGGTTAAAATATTGTCCGTAACCTAAGGCAAGAATATTTTTTTTTTCTGTGATGTAAAGCATTTTTAAAAATCAAAGACAGAGAAAGCCACTGGGCTATGCTGCTGGGATCATGACTGGTTTCTTATATGTCTTTTCAAGTTCTTATTATACAGTTTTTACCCCAGATAAAATTTGGGGGTGAAAAGGTGTAAGAACATTCATGGACAGAAAATTCAAAACAACTCACCAAGGGAAGCTTGGTTTGTGATAATTTTACCAATTATTTTATTATTATTATTATTACAGTTATCTCATCCCCCCCCAGGGCCGCCTGAGAGCTGGAAACAACACCGGACCAGGCTTAGGAGATTTCTCAGAGTCTCAATGAGGTTTCTAGCGGGAGGGCTACAGAGAGAGGGGCCACCCACACGGAGGTGTGGGACCTGCCCCAGGACCCAGGGCCCTGCCCTGTGGACAAAATGCATGGCTTCAGGCGACTCCCTTAGTCTGGCTGGTCAGTGTCTACTTCCTGCATTAGACCAGAGTTACAAACTCAAATGCTCTGAGGACTTAGGCTGAAGCCTAAAACTGAAAGGGCCACCAGGGACTACGGTGACCTAGAGATCACAGGCACCTGCCACTCAAACGCAGGTAACTGCTAGGTCCCAGGCTGACAGGTCAGTAGATTTTTGCTCTTCAAGAGAAGCTAGAAATCCACACCTTCATGCGGACTCTTTAATTTTTCGTTGGCATCTAATTTTACAAAAATGTAAACACCCTGAAGGTGACACAGACCCTGGCCATGTTCTCTGGGTTAGACGTTCCAGAAATGCCCTTGAGTGTAGGGTGTCAGGTAGGCCTGCTGTGTGCCCCCTGCTGCGTTACCACACAGCAGAAATGAAAGAGCCCATTGAGGAAATTGTGTTTCAGGCTGTATATGCGTCTGGGTAATCGGAATAACGTCGACTGGCATCGCTGGCCCCGTGGCTCCTCCAAGACACCACCTGTCAGAGGAGACATACAAGGGGAAGGGCAACAGAAAGATGCTGGGTGGAACTAACCAATTTGGTTGCTAGAGCGAGGAAGAGCTTCTGCAAAGGTCCAGCCGGGGTCCCATCGAAAGTTCCTTGACCCCAGGAGAAGGTGACAATGTGCTGGGCTGGACCATTTGCCTCTGCCTCCGGACACAGGCCATGTGCCTGTGCACCTGGGCATGCTGCCAGAGCCTGGCGGGGTGCTTCCGGTCCTGCAGCTGGACTGGGGATTCCAGGCCCACACTTCGCTGACATCACTGAGTGCAAGCATTCTGCGTCTTGAACGAGCTACAGGTGACATGGTGCCACCCTCATCAAGGCATGCTCTGAAGAGCCAGCTAGGCAGTACTTTCCTTTCTCTGGCTCTTTCTCTCTACCTGTGCCCCACAGACAAGTCCCCTCCATCCCCCAGTTCCCTCCCCTGTCCTCGTATTTCTCACAAGCCTTCTGAATGTGGAGGCTGTGCTGGCTGCCTTGACTTTCCCACCCCTTTATCAGCTTCTCCTCCGAACCGGGACCGCACTCTTAAAATAATTCTTCCACGTTACTAATTGCCTAATTCAATGTCCTCTTCTACGACCCTGTCCAAACAACTGATAATAATAACGATGGCTGGTACTTATCAATTAGATAAGTGTATCAGGCACTGTCTCAAGCTCTTGCCTAAGAAGTACTTCAAATGCATTATCTTACCACCTATGATATGTTCTTTGATTAGCCCCATTTTTGCAAATGAGGAAGCTGAGGCTCGGAGAGGTTAAGTACCCTGTCCAAAGTCACATAGCTAGACAGGGGCAGAGCTGGGACTGGCTACCCAGGCAGTCAGCCGCAAAGTCCTCACTCCTTCTCTAACCGCTCCCCCCCCCAACAATTTATTATAAAAATTTTCAAATATACAGCAAGGCTGAAAGAATTTCACAGAGAACACATGAATATTTATCACCTAGATTCTACCACCAACATTATTACATTTCACCCTTTTGTTTTATCACAAGCCTATCAAAAGCTTTGTCACCTTGGGTTCTATCTGAAAAGCAGCCAGGACAGCACATTGGAGGCTCAGGTCAGATGTTGCCAATTCTGAATTAGAAATCATTTGGCATCTTCTGAAACCCATTCACCCCTCTCCTCTCCCCAGGCCAGGGGTGGGTAAGGGCAGGCAAGAAGGGAAGTGTGGATCTCGGAACACCTGTGCACATCATCACAACACATGTCCCAGCCAAACTGACTTCTCCCCTGGCACGAAGCAGAGAGGGAGAGTATTTGGGAATAGCTTCTCGAAGCACCTACCGAGCCCTGAGGGGTCTTTCGGAAAGTGGCCATAAGACGGTAGGAGGAGCAGTATACAGCAGGGACAGCTGTGCCTGCCTTCAGAGGCCTTTAACCTGCTCAAGCAGGGTTTGAGCAGCCTCAGGCTCCATCACCAGGCCCCGGAGTGAGAAGGGAAGGTTGTCAGGCAAACCTCCCATCCCAAGGCCCTTTTGCGCACCGCGAGGGGAGGCCATTCCCACAGAACCAAATGTGAATGGTCCCCTGGAATTCCTGAGGGCCATGGCCCATGCCACCCCGCTCCCCTGCATCTGCTCCATGGAAAAGATGCTCAATCCTTTAAAAAATAAATAAATAAACCCGCTTTGTCTCCATGTTCCTGGTATGGTAGAGACCCTCAATGGGGAAGCATATGAAAAGAAAGGCCTTGGGGCCCCCAGAGCCCTGGGATCTCAGTCTTGCCCCCTTTGGCCCTCCGCACTTCTGGCGATGTGACCTTAGGAAGCATTCTCTCCCTCACCAGGCCAGAGCTTTCTCATGTGTACAAATGAGATTGTACCAAATGAACAGAATAAGCAAATCTGGCCCATCTCCTGTGCCAAAGGCAGGAGCCCGGGGCTGGCTGGAGAGAAGTGGGGATCTGAGCAGGCACCACAGAGCCCTGCTCTAGGCCTTTTCTCTGAAAGTATTGACTCCCTAAATCCTTACGACAATTCTGAGGCAGGTGTGATCTTTTTATCTATGTTTTATGGGTAGGGAAACTGAGGCACAGAGAGATTGAAACTTTCCCAACCTCATGTGGTTAGTAAGAGGCAGAGCAAGAATGAAAGGCAGAGGCAGGCTCTGGAGGCTGTGCAGGTGGCCACCACACATCACCGCCTGCTGGGGAGGCCTGAGGAAGACCTTCCCGCCGCCCTCCATTCACACCTGGAGTCCAGCTCTGAGGTGACAGGACAAATATCAAGACTTAAGTGCTGATGAAATATTTAAATAAGTCTTTGAGATAATAGTGGGGAAGATACTGCCAGGCAGAACATAATTAATTGCCAAATGAAGGCGTTCAGACAGAATTGCTCTAAAGGTCCAGGAAAAAAAAAAACAGTGTGAGATCATTCTGAGATTGTAGGAAGCCCAGGAGACTGCATGTGAACTGGCTTTTGCAGGGTGAGCAAAATTTAAACAGACAAAGAGGAAACACTCCAGCAAGAGTTAAAATTCAAAGAGGCAGCCCCCCCTATGCGGAGAGGAGGGGAGCCCCCAAAGATTGATGGCGGCTTGGGAGAACAAGGTACAGAGCTGGAAAGATGGGCTGAGGCCAGGCCTCAGGGACCTCAACCCCTGAGGTCTGAGCTCTACCTCTTAGGTAATAGGGAACCATGGAAGAACTAGAATGAGGATAGAGAGGTATCATGACCAAAATGTCTACAGGTGACTCACTGGGTACATTACGGGGTGGCAAGGAGTGAACCTGATGAATTATCACAGGTATTGGCCAAGGAGCCCTTGGGTTTTGACAAAGGAAAGGTCATGATACACGCCTGACACCGACAGGGTAGAGGGACAGCTGAAGGCTGTTCAGAATTTAGCACATGGGGTCATGTGGGAAGTGATTAAGTGTGATCCAAAGAGCCCCCCAGGATCACATCCAGTGAACAGAATTTTTTCAAACGCGATTTTTCAACCTTCTGTTGACCGGGAAGAAATGAAGCATGAACATCAGCGAGAGGATCTCCAACCTCCCCTCTCTCCTCCTATGAGCTGCACGGCGACCCTGCAGACTCACCATATGGCCCACCAGCCAGGCAGCCCCTTCTGATCCCGAACACGTTGATCTGCTTAATTATTTGGTGACTATAAATAGAAGGGTTGGATGATAAGCGGAGACTTTTTCTGTCTTACAAGCAGAGAAAGGGCCCCCAAGTGGCAGACTGAGGAAGGTGAGGGTTTCACGCACTCGATCCCCACCATTTGCCCTCTGCGTGAGCCAGAAAGCCAAAGCCAACTTCAAAATGGCCCTAGGACTGCTAGGGACCTGCCTCTCCCAGCAGAGCCAGATATGGAGGTTACTTAACCACACACAGTTCTTAGAGGGGGCCACGGGGACAGGAAAGAGACCATCCAGGAGACACGAAAGGTCTCCTTGTTTTGAGGTGTCGCCTTGACCTAGCTGCAGTCATCCAGGGCCTTTCCTACCTTACTGCCCACTGTGCCCGTGCGCAGCCGTCCCTCAAGCCCCCACTGCACTCCCAGGCTACAGGAATCTCCCGAAGGACTGCACTCACAGGACCCAGAACCAGGAGGTGAGCTCAGTGAATATTCAAGGGCAGGAACACCTGTTCTGGATTCCCGGTGCTCACGAGGGGAAGCCTGACACCCCAGCAGCCCCCCTTCCCTTGACACTTAGATCCGTGCCAGACTGCAACCCGTGATCAGCCATCAGTCATGCCCACTGGTCTCCTCCCCTTCCAGGCAGGCTTTCTGCACCCTGCACAGGAGCCTTCTCTTGCCCCGCTCCTCAGGTGTCCTCCCAACCCTGAAACCATGGTGAGCATCCAAGTTTGAAGTCAGATAAGCCTGGCTTTGCCTTCTGGATCTGCTGCCTTACTAGTTGCAAGAACTTGGTCAAATGGCTTAAACACTCAGCAAGCATTCCAAGAGGGGCTGGGCTCTGTCCCTCCCCTTTTCCCCCTTCACACCCCAGCAAAAGACCAGGTGACCACAGGAGCCGACACATTCAGCTCCTGTAGTTGGGACTCCTGATCCTGGCCAGTGTGAATCTGAACACATTTTCATAGGTGTCTGACACCTACTGTTTACCTTCTGTCATCGTCCTATCTCCTGTCCTAGCTAGGAGGCCCTCACTCCACACAGGTGGCCAGGGTGCAAGAACAGTCCTCTTTCCTAGCACATGTTTGCTCTTCAGAGAACGTGTTTGCCCAGCGACAGGGATACCATGGTAACAGCCTAGGGCTGTCCAAGATCCAGGAGTGGATGAGTACACACAGCAGATGAGAACCGGGTGACAGAAAAAGTCCCTAGAGGCCACCAGTCTCCCACCCAGGGGCCAGACTGCTTCTGCATGAATGTTTCCCCAAAGGAAAGGTCTTTCCCCTGGAAAGGTCCCAGCAGGCTTCCAGGACACTCCTGCAGACAAGGGCTCAGATGTTCTTGGCCTTGAAGCCCCTGCATTCATGGAGTCTGCCTTAGACACCTACCTTCATCAGATCCATCACTAAGCCCCATGGCATTCATGCCTCATGGACATTCAGAGCCACTTATGCATTGTGGTCATGGCTTGGAAAATTCCTTATGGAGGTTGATCTGGGCTGGCCTTCAGGGGACAACAGAGAACAGGATGAAATGTCTACTCATCAGAGAGGATAACAGCCTTTGTGAAGTGCAGAGACTGTAGCACATGATGAACCAGGCCCACCTGGCCCTGCACTGATTCAGGTGGAACATGGAATCAGCGGCCAGGCCAAACCTTAGCTGTCCCACTTCCTAGCTAGGAGAATGCTGGTGATACCTTTAACCTCTCTGAGCCTCAATTTCCCCATCAAAGAAAGAATTTTAAAAATGCCTTCTGCGAGGCACTGCTGAGAAGTATGAGTATAATTTCAAAGGGTAACAGGTACAGAGTAGGAGCTTGCTTAATGGGATTGA